ATTTGTCTTAGCTAGTAGGACATCATCTGTGAGCGCTGGATCATCCAGATCATTCTTAAGCTGGTATTTCACATTATCACACATCAGTCCTGTCCCCACAGCTCTTAGACATTTCCGCTGGATCAGTTCAGGGCCGTATTGGTCATCTGTACCAGGCTCCCTGGATGAAGCCAAGAGTCTCTGTTTCAGTTCTATTGCCCTAAATAGGACATTTTGTGGAGACTATTTACTGTCTTGTGTAATACACGCCTTTATATCAGAACTAGAATAGACTTAATAAGTTTTATTAATTACCTTTAAAGCTCTTCATGGCCTCTCTCACTGTTATATCCCTGACCTTTTAGTCCCATACCCACCTGCACATATCTTGAGATCCTCGGGCAGAGGTCTTTTGTCCGTTCCAGAGTCTCGACTGAAAACTAAAGGGGACAGTTTGCAGTCAGTCTTCTTAAAACATACTTTTATAGAAGAGCATATTCCTGATACAGACAAGCCCATTTAATGAGGCAAAATGTGACATTAGTGAGGCCGTCCATACAGAAGCTAATTAGCCTACTTTGAACGTCAACAGTTAGTTAAATACCCCAATAATCCATATTTTTCATTCAAGAAATTTTTTTTTTTTAGACTGCTCACAGTTTGTATATTTATGATTTAAGGAAACCTTTTTAAAACATCGTTTAGACATAGTGGCAGGTAGCAACACGTAGGTTTCAGTTCTTGCAGCACTTCACTAGCCCTGGGTGTGCAGTTGCTCACCTCTCTTTTGCTTTCAAGAATGGACGTCATCACACCCTGATTTACTGAAAGGAGAATCACCAAGCTGCTCCCAGTCATTGTTGAGGAGTCAGTCCCCACACCCTGTGCAACAGGTGATCTGAATGATCCTTTAATCAACCCAGAGGAACGCTGACATTCAGCCAAAATTTATGGGAAAAAGGGAAATTAAATGGCAACAAATACATAAGAAGGGACTGCAACATTCCTGATCACCTGGGGATTCTCAGTTACATCTGTTCTGACTTGCCAGGAAGCTTTTTCATCTTCACTTTGATCTATAAATGACTGAACAGTCCCTGTGTGCCCTGACTGTCTAAGTCTGAATCCTCCTCCCTCTGCTGTATGAATTCAACCCAAAGATAGTTTTAGGTCAATTTGAAACCTTCAGAAAAAATAAAAAGCATTTTTTAAACAACCAGAGTGAAACTAACAGAAGCTCAGATTTGAAAATAGAAATTGATTTTCTATTATTTTAGTGTAGTATGTGATAGTTGTCTTTACTTATGTTTTCTGTATTTCTGTCAAGATCACACTTATAAAACAACAATCACAATAAGACCGATGTGGTAAACTAAATTTCAGAGGGAAACATTTGTTATTACTCATCCCAATCTCAATGAGGATGTGTTAAACAGCAGCAGAGTCAGCTCCACTGATGTAGAGACACAAACCAAATTCACAATATATCAAACATCAGTGTCCACACATCACACTGAAATCTCAGGACACTGAAGCTCCATATCTGCAATGCAACAAATGTTTTCTGTGGCAGAAACACTGAGAAACACTCAGAAACATAATGGATTCTGGGCCACAGTTCATACAGTACATGTCACTGAACAACCTGTTTGTGGACCAAATGCCTCAGATGTCACCTCACACTTCACAAGCCCATCACAACAGCTTTCTGTAAGGGAGGAGTTCATTGAATCAGCCGACCTGATTTCCTTGGACAGGCTGTTCCAGAGCCTTGAAGCCGGGGAGCCACGAGCGAGGATACACAAGAGCAGCCTTCAGGGAAGTCTTTTACTGGTCGACACACCCGCTTATTATCAACAACAATTAAAGTCAGAGAGGCTTCCTGTCAGCAAGAAACACGTTTTACATATTTTATCACTTCCTTTCAGTCACATGTGAGGCTGATATAGGATAGGGGCAGTATTAATTCACTCCATGGGAACTTGGCTTGGGAACTGGAGGGTTGCAGGTTCAAGTCCACATAGTCAAAGGTGCCCCTGAGTAAGGCCCTGAACCCTAAACTGCTCCCTGGCTGTCTGCCCACTGGTCCTAAGAGTTTCCCTTCATGGATTAAGACAGATTAGATATAAAAATGATCCTAAACATCGGCTTTGATACGAGTTACATCATTTCAGTTTCCCCTGATACATCTGACCTAGTAAATCAAAAGTCAGCACATGTTCATATGTGGGTTAATCAATAATGAATTTACAATCAGAATATCAATAAATAACAAATACATCATATAAAGACATTCTGCCAATAGAAATGATCCTGTGCCTCTGAGCAGGACGCAGTAGGCCGCTACAGTAGCTATAACAACATGTTCTCATCTCAGGTCATCAAATAGGCCTGACAAAATGATCAGCTGCCGCCGGCATCAGAAACAGAGGTCGCTGTAGAGGCCTGTACTACGAAGCAGGGTTTGAGCTTAGCGAGGGAACTTCAGGAGTAACCCTGGGTTTTCACTCCTAAAATGCTGCTTCAATTCTTACCGCAGTACATCACCATGGTTACTTTTGCCAAACATCTGGACACTGCAGCTGTGTTGCTTTTAGCCTGGAGGATGTGTTTGACTTCTTTGTATTTGTCTAATATTATACTTTGCTCTTCGTTGGTAAAATTTGCCTCTCTGCTGCCAGTGGGCTTTTCTAAGTTTGCGATTGGTCATCAGCTGCAAAAACTGCCCTTTTTTATGTGATCTGATTGTTTGGTTTAGTGAAGCCAGATAATGAAACGATATCCTGGGTATGTTGAACTACCTGAAGATTCAGAGGAAAGGACATTTCATTTCTCTAAAAAAACATATGTGCTCTTATCTTCTCTTCTTGCATGGTTTCTGTCTGAATTTACATACAATATATTGACAAGTTTTGGGACCCCCCTCCGAATCACTGAATTCAGGTGATCCAATCACTTCCATGGCCACAGCTGTATAAAATCAAGCACCTAGACTGCTTCCACAAATGTGTGAAAGAATGAGTCACTCTCAGGAGCTCAGTGAATTCAAACGTGCTACCGTGATAGGTTGCCACCTGTGCAATAAGTCCATTTGTGAAATTTCTTCAAAGCCAAATATTCCACAGTCAGTTGTTAGTGGTATTATAACAAAGTGGAAGCGATTAGGAGCAACAGAAACTCAGCAATGAAGTGGTAGGCCACATAAAATCAGCGCATGCTGAGGCGCACAGTGCGCAGATGTCGCCAACTTTCTGCAGAGTCAATAGCTATAGACCTACAAACGTCGTGTGGCCTTCGGATTAGCTCAAGTACAGTGCGTAGAAAGCTTCATGGAATGATTTTCCCTGGCCGAGCAGCTGCATCCAAGCCTTACATCTCCAGTGCAATGCAAAGTGTCGGATGCAGCGGTATAAAGCACGACGCCATTGGACACTAGAGCGGTGGAGACGTGTTCTCTGGGGGGACGAATCACACTTCTCTGTCTGGCAATCTGATGCACGAGTCTGGGTTTGGCGGTTGCCAGGAGGTCGGTACTTGCTGACTGCAGTGTAAAGTTGGATGGAGGGGGGATTATGGTGTGGAGTTGTTTTCAGGGGTTGGCTTGGCCCCTTAGTTCCAGTGAAAGGAACTGTTAATACTTCAGCCTACCAAGACAGTGTGGACAGTTTTATCCCTTTGGAAACACTTTGGGATGGCCCCTTCCTGTTCCAACATGACTGCGCACCAGTGCACCCCAACCAGTCCTGACCCCAACCCAATACAGCAACTTTGGGATGAATTAGAGTGGAGACTGCGAGCCAGGCCTTCTAGTCCAACATCTGTGCCTGACCTCACAAATGTGCTTCTAGAAGTACGGTCACAAATTCCCATAAACACACTCCTAAACCTTGTGGACAGCCTTCCCAGAAGAGTTGAGGCTGTTATAGCTGCAAAAGGTGGGCCAACTCCATATTAAACCCTACGGATTGAAACCAAATGGGATGTCATTAACATTCATGTGCATGTAAAGGCAGGCGACCCAAAACTTCTGGCAATATGGTGTACCATCCCTACGATGCAAGGAAAAGACGCAAGTGTGGGAAACACGTGTGCCATTAAAAATGTAAATGCACCCAGGGTATTTGAAGTGTTTGCTGATTTAGTAGATGAGGGTCAGGTGTGCAGTCAGATGAGGAAATGACACCAAACTAGGAAGGTCAACAGAAACGGCCACAGCCGCCTGCTGAGAGAGGGAGAAAAAGAGAGAGCCAAAAACCAAAACACAGCAATCACACCACATTCACCCTAACAAAAACACACTCAGTCCCACACCAGCTGTCACTTGCAGGAGTCATAGCAGGAGGTGGTGACATTAATAATTAACGTGCTGAGTGAACACTTGTTAGTTTGCAGACAGTTTAACTTTTGATATGCTGTCACAAATTGTAAATATGTGTTGTACAGCTAAAATCATAGTAAAGTTTAACATTTTCATCCTGAAATGTGTTTTTCAACTGGCCACAAAAATAGTGTTTGTACCACTATTTTATCATGAGCACTGGCATCAAGAAGCTCACTGATTTAATGCTCTTAAATGTTTGGACATTATGTCCTCATCAGGTAATACTCAGCATGAGACCAAGATTGACCATATATAAACCACCTGATTCAACAAAACACTCTTTCCAATTAATTAGGTCAGCACTTCTACATCAAACTATTTAAAATATAATATATACACAAAATAAAAACCTGAGGTATCACTTCATATCAGTTTATATGGATGCAGCCCAACACGTCACACAGAGAACCGACATTACGTGGAAATAGTTTTTTCATGTTCTGACACAAATATAGCCTGTTTGTGAGGCATCTGTCCCAGCAGTGAGGAGGAAACAGCATGATATGTTGAGGACAGCTACAGTTCACTGACTCTGTGTGTTTGCATATCTGTCCTGCCTCTCTGCTCCCAGCCGTTAAGAGGCCAGTGTTGATCAGTGGCTGTCCAGGCCTTTCAGAGCCACTGACACGCCGGCAGCACAATGATGATGTCACTGATTCTACTGCTGGCCACCCTGGGGCTCCTTGTTCAGGGTGAGACTCTCTTCTGAAAACTTTGCTTCAGGATGCAACCAGGTTCACCAAAATGATGTTCTGCTGTGATGGAGAAACACTGAAACAAGCAGCATTTACCTTCTTCCATCTGTTCTCCATCTTAAAGAAATGAGACTCTTCTGTTTGGATGCTGATCATCTTTCTCCAAGCTGGATTTGTCTCAATAACCCTTCTCCTCTTTTTCATCTTTTCCAGGTTCATCAGGACAAATCACGGTTACTCAGTCTCCTGGATCTCAGTCTGCTGTTCCAGGACAGGCTGTCTCTCTCAAATGTAAAACCAGTACAAGTGTTAGTAGCTGGCTCAGCTGGTACCTTCAGAAACCTGGAGAAGCTCCTAAACTCCTGATTTATACAGCTACAACCCGTCAGTCTGGAGTTCCAGATCGTTTTAGTGGAAGTGGATCTGGGACTGACTTCACTCTGACCATCAGTGGAGTTCAGGCTGAAGATTCAGGAGTTTACTACTGTCAGCAGGGTGACAGCAGACCGTTCACACAGTGATACAACGTCGTACAAAAACCTCCCTCAGCTGGAGAGGAACTGATCTGACTCAACAGCTGCACTGAAACTAAAACAGAGGTTTATAAAGAAGAAGAATATACTTTGAACATTTCAACACTAAATATATCAAATAAAACACAAGTATTTATAATACTTTTCTAAAAGAATTTCAACCATTCTTCTGACCATCAAAGCTAACCTCTGATGAATTATAATTTCAATTCTTTGATAAGTGAAATTCATGCATGTTCACACATGAACACTCAAATTGTAAATATTTATTCAGTTTATGTCTTATCATTTTTAAGAGAAACTCAAACACACAAATTGTTGAAACAGTTAATAAAATTTCATTTAGTTCAAGTTGTAAAATTACTAATCATGTCTATTACATATGTTTATAACTTTAGTATTACAGCAAAACCAATTTATTTTAGAATTGATCCATGAAGGATTGATGAATAAGTACATTTGAATATTTTTGTAGTATGTAAATAGTTCTTGGTTAGAATAGCAGTTTACACTGATTTTATTTCTTTATGCTGATATTCTGCTCTCTCTTAAAATTTGGAATATATTGTTCTATTAAAATAATTATTTAGAAAATACCTGTATAACAATAATATTACATAGTCCTTGTTATAACCCAAATTCATTACTGCCAATGGTTTATTACATACAAAACTCTAATGAATAGAGCAGAACAGGTTGTACTGAAAGCATTCTTATCAATTCTCACCAATTGATGGCTTATAGTGTTACCATCACTGGATTGTACTAATTAGACAAATAATTCAAATTTTCTCTCAATTTATATATTGCTATACATAATATGAACAGCAATGCGTTATATAACACAATCTCTATAAAATTGGCATAAAGGAACATTTTAGTCAGCTCAGTTTCTCTGGATGTAACACAGTCACTGACACCATCAAGAGAACATTCTTTAAGACACTTTGATGATAATAAACATGAAAACAGCTGATTGGATGAAAAGGTCTTTATTATCTGGAAACACTGAAATAATATTGAAACAGTGCAACAAGCTAGTAAATCTTGCTGTTGAAAGATGTCAAATAAAAGAGAGAGACAGTTCCAGAGTGCAGAGTGAGAGCAGGAGCAGAGGAAAACCAGTAGCAGAGTCCCAGTGAGTCAGGTCAGGACTGGGAACACTGGTCTCTCCTCAGTGTCTCTGAGAGCGGAGTCTGGGAGCCCTGGGTGGCCTCACAGGTCACAGAGCCCACCTTCCTCCACTGGTCTGCAGAGAGCCTCAGGGTGCTGCTCCAGCTGTAGTGGCCGTCCTTCTGCAGCACCCCGGGGCTCCTGCTCTCCTCCCAGCTGCTGCTGCTGCTGCTGCTGCTGCTGCCGTCCACCTTCCAGGCCAGACTCCAGTCTGAGGGGAAGCCCTTGTTGGCCAGGCACATGAGCGTGGCCTTCCCCTGCTGCAGCTCCTCGCTGGAGGGGGGCAGCACCGTCAGGGTGGGACGGACATCACCCACTGGAGGAGGAGACAGAGAGACAACATGAAGAAAGTTCATGCACAGAGAAAATAAACTCCACCCTGTTGGTTGCAGCAGAGGAGGCTGCTGGTTCTGTTGGTCTTCCTCAGACTGGATGAAACTGGTCTTCAAGGTTTCACTTCCCTCTCTCAGCTCAGTAACCATGGCAACAGACAGGCATCACTGCTGAACCATGAAGATAAAGTTTCAGGCGGGAAACTCTCTCTTTATCTGAATTAACATCTTAAACTTCAACATTTAAAGACTTTTATTTGTTCTTCAGATTTTTCAGCTCAAATCATCACTCATCAGAGACGGTGTGTGTTTACTCTCTTCATTTACGCAGACATCACTAGTGAACCACGACAACAGACGGACTGAACTATATATTATATAGTATATATTGTTCCATTGGTCTGAAAGGGTGGCAGTGGCGCAATGAATGAGACTATGCCTTTGGTGTGAGAGACCCAGGTTAAATCCCCCACTGTGACCCATCCACCATTGTGTCCCTGAGCAAGACAATGAACCCTAGTTGCTCCAGAGGTGTGTGACCTCTGACATGTATAGCAATTGTAAGTCGCTTTGGATAAAAGCGTCAACTAAATGAATAAATGTAAATGTAATGAAAGTCAAATTGAACCCTCTAGAATGAAATGAAAGCAGACAGAAGATGTTGTAAAAGAAAATCTTTCTGCAGTCATCAAAGCAAATGTCCATAAAAATGATCACTGACACATTCCTAATCAATCCTCTGGTAAACGTATTGATCCATTGAGAAGCAGCATCATCAGAGTAATCCAAGTTTTGCACATTTTCACCTTAATGATAATCACCTCATCTCTCTTCATACAGTGCTGCTGACGTATTGCGGTAAGCGTGTCGACTCATTTCCGTTTCCGGTGCTTGTGTGTTGGTACCGTGTTGTTGCTCTTGTTACATTTGTTTGATTACAGCGGCCAACTGTTCGCTAAACACTTATTCTTTACAGTAATTTTGCCTAAGCACTCACAGTTCTTTCCATCTTTTAGTGACTGCTGTTCAATCTCATAGTTGTTCTAAAGTTTTGGTAGCTGACGCTACAGTACTTTAGCTTAGCCGTTAGCGACTTTAGCTTAGCAGGTAGCGATGGCTTCTCCTTCTCCCTCTCTCTCTCCTACTTTCTCCTGCTCGGTGTGTCAGATGTTTAGTTACTCCTCTGCCTCCTTTAGCGGTAATGGTACATGTAATAAGTGTAGTTTATTTATAGACATGGAGGCGAGGCTCAGTGATTTAGAAGTCCGGCTCCGCACCTTGGTAGATCAGTCTTTAGCTACTGTAGCTAGCCAGTCCCCGGTAGTCGGTGCGGAACGGCCTGAGTTAGCCTCTGGTAGCCGTCCTCCGGCATCCCCTGTGCAGCCAGGAAAGGGGGGCTGGGTGACTGTCCGAAGGAGGAATAGTCGTAAGCATTCAAAGTCCACGGGGCATCATCAACCTGTTCACGTTTCTAACAGATTTTCCCCACTCAGCGACACACCCGCTGAGAAACCAACTCTGATCATTGGCAGCTCCATTTTGAGAAACGTGAAGTTAGCGAAGCCAGCGGCCATAGTTAAGTGCATCCCTGGGGCCAGAGCGGGCGACATTGAGTCTTATTTGAAACTGCTGGCTAAGGATAAACGTAAATACAGTAAGATTGTTATTCACATCGGCGGTAATGACTCCCGGTTAGGCCAATCGGAGGTCACTAAGATTAATGTTGAGTCGGTGTGTACATATGCAAAAACAATGTCGGACACCGTAGTTTTCTCTGGACCCCTGCCAAATCTGACCAGTGATGACATGTATAGCCGCATGTCGTCCTTCCGCCGCTGGTTGTCGAGGTGGTGTCCAGCAAACGATGTGGGCTTTGTTGATCATTGGCAGACTTTCTGGGGAAGACCTGGTCTGATCCGGAGAGACGGCATCCATCCCACTTGGGAAGGAGCAGCTCTCATTTCTAGAAATCTGGCCAAGTTTATTAGTGGACCAAATCCATGACAACCCAGAGTTGAGACCAGGAGGCAGAGTCGCAGTTTAACACACTTCTCTGCCCTTCTTTTTCAGCAGTTACCCACCCAAAACCCTACGCAGAGTCGCAGTCTAACACACTTCTCTGCTCCTCCATTTCAGGAGTTACTTAGTGAAAATCCTATAGTGACGGTGTCTGCCCCCCGACCATCGAAATTATTTAAAAAGGTAAACAGAAGAGGAGCTGTGCATAAAAACCTCATAAAAATTAAAACCACAAGAGCAATAGTGCAAACGAATAGGAGAGTTAAATGTGGACTCTTAAACATCAGATCTCTCTCTTCTAAAGGTGTACTAGTAAATGAACTAATATCAGATTATGATATTGATTTATTTGGTCTTACTGAAACCTGGCTGGGTGATGGAGAATATTTTAGCCTAAATGAATCCACCCCTCCCAGTCATATTAATACTCACATTCCTCGAGGCACAGGCCGAGGAGGTGGAGTTGCAGCTATCTTCGACTCTAGCCTACTAATCAGCTCTAAACCTAAACTAAACTATAACTCATTTGAAAGTCTTGTTCTTAGTCTTTCGCACCCAAGTTGGAAATCACTGCAACCAATTCTTTTTGTTATAGTGTACCGAGCACCTGGCCCGTACTCTGAATTCTTATCTGAATTTGCAGAGTTTTTGTCAACTTTAGTCCTTAAAACGGACAAAGTTATTATTGTAGGAGATTTTAATATTCATGTGGATGTTGAGAATGACAGCTTTAGTACTGCGTTTATCTCTCTGTTAGATTCCATCGGCTTCTCTCAGAGTGTTCATGAACCGACTCACTGTTTTAACCACACCCTCGACCTTGTTTTGGTGTATGGTATTGAAATTGAACATTTAGTGGTGTTCCCACAGAATCCCTCTTTATCCGACCACTGTTTGATAACTTTTGAGTTTGTAATGCTGAACTACTCGCCATTGGGCAAAAATTTCTATACAAGATGTCTGTCTGATAGTGCTGTAGCTAAATTTAAGGATGCGATTCCATCAGCTCTAAATACATTATCTAGTCACAAAGTAACGGAGGACTCCTATGCTAATTTCAGTCCCTCCCAAATCGATCATCTTGTTGATAGTGCTGCAGGCTCGCTGCGAATGACACTCGACTCTGTAGCCCCTCTAAAAAAGAAAATACTAAAACAAAGACGGTTAGCTCCATGGTATAATACTGAAACTCGCAAATTAAAGCAAATATCACGGAAACTTGAGAGGAATTGGCGTTCTACCAAAGTGGAAAATTCTCGTTTAATTTGGCAAGATAGTCTTAAAACTTATAGGAAGGCCCTCCGTAATGCCAGAGCAGCGTACTACTCGTCATTAATAGAGGAAAATAGGAACAACCCAAAGTTTCTTTTCAGCACTGTAGCCAGGCTGACAGAGAGTCACAGCTCTATTGAGCCAAGTATTCCCATAGCTCACAGTAGTTACGATTTCATGAGCTTCTTTAATAATAAAATTCTAGCTATTAGAGACAAAATTCACCAAGACCTGCCCTCAATTGGCACCGACTTATCTCTTAACTCAGGAACCTTAGAAACAGCTGTAGAACCAGATACATGTTTAGACTGTTTTGCTTCCCTCAATCTTTACCAACTAACTTCAATAATTTCTTCATCTAAACCATCAACCTGCCTCTTAGACCCCATCCCGACTAGGCTGCTTAAAGATGTTCTACCCTTAGTCAGCACCTCTATACTAGATATGATCAATCTATCTTTATCAACAGGCTATGTACCACAGTACTTTAAAGTAGCTGTAATTAAACCCTTCTGAAAAAGCCCAAACTTGATCCGGATGTTTTAGCCAACTATAGACCTATATCTAACCTTCCATTTCTCTCTAAGGTTCTGGAGAAAGCAGTTGCTAAACAGCTGTGTGACTTTCTACAGAGCAATAGTTTATTTGAGGATTTTCAGTCAGGATTTAGAGCTCATCATAGCACAGAGACAGCACTGGTGAAAATTACTAATGACCTCCTTATTGCATCAGACAAAGGACTTGTCTCTGTACTGGTTTTATTAGATCTTAGTGCTGCATTTGATACCATTGACCATCAGATCCTATTGCAGAGACTGGAATATTTCATTGGCATTAAAGGAACCGCTCTAAGCTGGTTTAAGTCCTATTTATCAGATCGATTTCAGTTTGTACATGTTAACGATGAGTCCTCCATGCACGCCAAAGTTACTCATGGAGTTCCTCAAGGATCTGTCCTTGGACCAATCCTCTTCACTTTATATATGCTTCCTTTAGGCAATATTATCAGGAAACATTCCATAAGCTTTCATTGTTATGCAGATGATACTCAGTTATATCTATCGATCAAGCCAGATGAAACTCATCAGTTAGCTAAACTTCAAATGTGCCTTCAGGATGTTAAAACCTGGATGACCTGTAATTTTCTAATGTTAAACTCAGATAAAACTGAAATTATTGCTCTGGGGCCTAAGCACCTCCGTGACGCATTATCTAAAGATATAGTTTCCCTGGATGGCATCGCCTTGGCCTCCAGCACCACTGTGAGGAATCTTGGAGTTATCTTTGATCAGGACATGTCGTTTAAGTCTCACATTAAGCAAATTTCAAGGACCGCCTTTTTTCACCTACGTAATATTGCGAAAATCAGGAACATCCTGTCTAAAAATGATGCAGAAAAACTAGTCCATGCATTTGTTACTTCTAGGCTGGATTACTGCAATTCCTTATTATCAGGCTGCTCGAAAAAGTCCATTAAGACTCTTCAGCTGATCCAGAATGCTGCAGCACGTGTTCTGACAGGAACCAGGAAAAGAGATCACATTTCTCCTGTTTTAGCTTCTTTGCATTGGCTTCCAGTAAAATCCAGAATAGAATTTAAAATCATTCTTCTTACCTACAAAGCTCTTAATGGTCAGGCACCATCTTATCTTAAAGAGCTCATAGTACCTTACTACCCCACCAGAGCACTGCGCTCCCAGAATGCAGGGTTACTTGTGGTTCCTAGAGTCTCCAAAAGTAGACTAGGAGCCAGAGCGTTCAGCTATCAAGCTCCTCTCCTGTGGAACCAGGTTCCAGTTTGGGTTCAGGAGGCAGACACCATCTCCACATTTAAGAGTAGGCTTAAGACTTTCCTCTTTGATAAAGCTTATAGTTAGGGCTGGCTCAGGTAGTCCTGAACCATCCCTTAGTTATGCTGCTATAGGCCTAGACTGCCGGGGGATTTCCCATGATGCACTGAGCTCCTCTCTCCTCTACTTTCTCTCCCTCTGTATGCAACCTTATCCCATTATTGCATGTTACTAACACAACTTCTCCCCTTTCTGGTAGTCTTGTGCTTTCTCGTCTCTCTCCTCTCTCCTATCACTTCCTGCAGGTTTTCTGGCTCTGGAGCTATGGAGTCTGGATCTGTG